CAACAAGTTTTGAATGGTGGTACTGTAGAAAAATTTCTCAGTCTCATTCAGTGTTTGGTCCCCTTCAGGAACTTCATAAAAAATCCTTTTATAAAACAATGGAAAAATTTTGTTTTGGAGTACCCCGATTCAAAACTTGTTGCGTACAGGTAACCAACTAAGAAGAGTACGAATCCACGATCAATTTTGATCGAACACGCTTTTAAAATTTCGCGAGTGAGATGATGTAATAGCAAACCTGTCTCTACTCTTTTTATTAATACAATGTTATATAATAATTTCTAAGTTTTTCTATATATAGTAGCTAGCTTCGTATTAAACCGAATCAAACACAAAATTTAGTTGGTGACAATTTCAACCAGTGAAAAATATGCGAATGATCTCTATCGGACTTAACAGAAATGATGCGACTACGGTTTGCAATAATAAACTGTCGGGAAGAAAGAATTAGAATTGAAGTGAAAGTTATATCATTTGAAACATGGAAGTTACAGTCATTCACGTTGTACATCTATCCTGTGGTGTATTACTATATACTTGCAGAAGATGACTTTCTGGTTAGATAAAACCGAGTTTTATGTTCTTATCTTCTTGTACAATGATGTATAGTATAGAAGACAGTATCATTCCAAAAGAACGACAAACCCATGTTTACTTTCTGCGTGTGATCTTAATGCTGCTCAATTTGTAACACAGTTCATTTTTCCTGGACCTTCCCTAGTCGCAACTCCCGACAAAACTTCCACGGGACTCCTGTCACGGAATCTTGCGGGAGTCAGGTGGGACTGTCAAGGGGCTCCTGAGAACTCCTGTGGGACTTTGGAGTCTCAAGGAAGTTCTCAGAAGTCCTATCAGACTCCTGCAGGATCCCGTGACAGGAGTCCCGTGGAAGTTTTGTCGGGAGTTGCGACGGTGATATGTAATTTATTTTGCCTGGGTAGATAACAATAGTAATACATAAACTCCTGAATACGGGTTACAGTACTCTTCAGAAGTATCCTCTTCTCCGTAACACAAGAACCATGATAGCTACTCTCATCCATTCCACTTATTTTGCACTCTTTTCCCTTCCCATATATTTCCAAGCAAAACTAATAACATATTTGCTATAAAACTGCGTCGAATGACATGTTTGACACTGCGAACAAAACAATTTCATCGGAAATTTTCTCCCTTAATGAACATGAAGGTAAGATAATCTTGAGAATGTTTCACATACTGTTTTTCACTTAGTATTTTCGTCATAGGCTTCCACAATTATACTTTGTCTAATTATAATGCACATTGAATATAGAGTTCATGGTAGAGAGGATGACCCTTAGTTCCTCACCCTCGCCTTCTACGTATGTTTTAATCGAGAGTGCTCGTTCTCAATGAATTTCCGGAACTACCCATGTGCTAAAAACTGCATAAAAATCGGCCATTAATCGTGAAAGATCATACGATTAATCGCGATTAAAGGCCGATTTTTCGGTGATTTTAGCGATTAATCGCGATTAATTGACGATTTTTTTTTCAGGGTATTGGGTTCGAATCCACCTTAGAAAATACATATTTTTTTCCGATTTTTCGTTGTTTATTATGTATAATGACATGTATGTCACTCCGCAACGGTATTAGTACCAGCTCAAGTCGAAGCCTTGCCGACGAGTCGATTTTAGACATTTCTCAGATACCAACTATTCACTGGGCTCCTGTTAAGGTTGACGCTGTCACCAGATGAAATCCTTTTCACCGATTGAAAAATCTAAGTTGATCGAGCAAATAAAACTTTATTTGTATTCAACAAAAACTTATCGAACCTACTAAAATACATCGCTATTTATAGCAAAAAATCAAACATTTAAAATGAACAAAATGATACAACTCTAAATCACACAAAACTAGGATTATCTGGAAACCTATGATGTAACGAAAAGAGATTGAAATCTTATGAATGATGAAATAGTACCTAGAAGAGTGTACAAGACCATTGGTCTGATGAAATAGATAACTACCATATGATATCGCAAAAACAGAACGAGATCATATGTATGACGAAATAGACAAAAAGAAAGAGATCATATGTATGATGACACATAAAACGGGAACGAAAAGAGATAAACGAAATACATGATGAAACAGTTAAAACAGAATGACCTTTTTTTTTAAACTTGTTCTTGTTTATTAAAAAATATTTAACTTCAACAAACAAACGCAGCTATGCTTGCAGACAAGTCTATGTTGCATAGTGCATAAAACGCTCAACCAAAAACCTAGCAGAATTACGTTTTTTTTGTTGTTTTTTTAAACATGCTATTTGAGTACAACAAAATTAAAAAAAAATGGACTAATGGGTAAGTGCATGTCAGTATGCAATCATATGAGATTAGAAGAAGTAGGGAAGGGGGAATAGTGTGCGTTCCGGACTGGAGTGCAGGGGAATCAAGAAAAAATATGTTTATCAGTCATGCATAACAAACCGCTCTGTTTTTGAGCAACAAAGTTAATGACACCTTTGAATACGATCTTAATTTCTTCAGGTGATAAAGAATTTTGCAAAAGTAGAGTTTTCAAGTTAAAATTCAAATGGGAGATCCAGCTGAAATATCGAGATTAGAGCTAGTCGCGCGGTGTCATATAAGGGACATTCAAAAAAATAATGAAAAAGGCTTTCGTCTGTTACATTGTCGCACGAGCAAAAAGGGTCAGAAACAAGACCACGAAGATGCAGGTCCCCTCTCAACTGTGAAAATCCAACTCGACACTGACAATAATCAATGTCGGCGTGTCTATTGCTAGTATACGGTAACTTTGGAATTTCTCTCAGCGATAATAAACTTTTCTTAAACTTTGGTATCCGAAATATCAGCCATGTTTCCTTCCACTGGTAATTCATTGTAGTCTCTCGCTGTTCGATATATCATTGAGTCGTACAACATATTCAAACGACAACGCGGAGTTGGAAGTAGCATCTTCTCGCGACTTCGTAGTGAGTATGAAAAAACAGTAGGAGGATCTGGACGTGATGGCAGCAGACCTTTAACTTATGGAGTGAACGTGAGAGGAGCTATGACCACACAAAATTAGAAGTCACTAACTATTATGGTTCTCAAGAACTCCAGTATCCATGTTTTAGCTGGAGAGGAAGAAAATCTGCTACTATGGGCAGCTTCTGATGTCAGCGAGAGAGTACACTATCAACTTTCGAAGAGGAGAAAAGTACAGTTCATGTAGTAGACATATACCGCATCTCATAAGAGATCATACAAGTATAAAATTTGCAGTGTAGAAAAATTTGTAGTTGTTTTTTGCTTTGAAATAAAGAGAAATAAAATAAAACGTAATACACTATGAATACACGACACGTGGTCAAGGACATAATAGTACAAATTCTGGGATACTGTGATGCAAATAACCAAAAACTAATAAACAGTACTGACTGCGAAATGAGATCTGAGCGACTCATTGCTCATCTCTGACAGTCCAGATTACTTATTTCGTTGTCAAATATATTGGCAAAATAGCTGGAAGAGTTTATATATAGCGGCATATTAATTTCATTTTCATCGATTTGTCGATCAATTTTCGACATATTATAAATCGAATATGGTAATTTTTAATTAAAATATATTAGTTTTCTCTGGTAATTTTTTCTGTCATTGTGTTCAAAAAGTTTTTCTGGACTTTTGACAACAAATTTTGTTAAAAATAGAAAATTTTGGGATGATCGACTACAGTGAATTCAGAAAAACACTTTGTAGCGACTTTGAACGAACTTTATTTTGGTTACAGTGACATGTTTTCTGAATCCTCTTTCTTGTCCTCAATCCTAAATATATTTCTTCAGATCACAAACAACTGATTGTGAACTATCTTTTGGTTGAGTCATTCAATGAATAAAAACAAGAATACCGCAAATGATTTCATAGTATCCATTAATACCCGATACGATTTACCATCAGGTAGGAAATGTTTTTAATTTTTACAAACATTCATCATTTTTATTACTAACTGGACCGTCATGTAATGTTATCTCGCTGTTTCATTATTTTGATATATGTATGACCGTGTCATTTTACGTCTGTTTTACAATATTTTTCATTTTAGTTATTTTAATATTGTCGGATGTTTCATATCTTAATAAAAAGATCAACGAAATAGTTATTAATTATAACAATTAATCAACGTTATCAGCGTTTGAATTATAAATAGAGCTATTACTGGTCTTAAAAGCGTGTGATAAATCTGAAAAAACCCAAAATATATTGACTGAATATTGGATGTGAAAATCAATTTCAAAAAATTATCGTGAAAGTTGACCGAGAAGGGGTCATTTCAGAGCTTGGATTCCTCAAGACACTATGTTCCACATGTTTTTCGAGGAAGGGAAGAGGCTTTTACTTTCGTTCTAATATAATGTCCGCCGCGTTCATCTTCCCGGCTCTCAGCTCATGTATATCTAGGCGTAACTGTATGGAAGTACCCTATACCGATCTGGAAAGGACCATTTCTAACATTTATATCAAAGATCTCCATACTTTACATATGATATGACACATTTTTTTTCAAACTCAAATTTGTGTTATGTGGGTATTTGATCGTTTGATTTCTAATTACTGCGTAATTAAATAAACTACGTTGTAGAGTTTTTCATGCTCTTTCTTCTGATATATTTGAAGTTATTCGGTATTGATGTAAATAAAAAAATTTGGCTTTTCTGAAAACAAGTTCAGAATTTTACGGTGCGTTGTTTAAATTTATTTTGTCTCATGACATATGAAAAAATTTTCATTTTCTGTTGTTTTAGTAGATGAGTATGTGATCTGATGAGGTAAATCTATTGAATAAGTTAGACAAACCTACAAAAAAATTTTCTCTTTCAAAACAATATCAAATAAATAGAAAACCATAGAAAAATAAACTTAAAAAGCATAAACGCTGAGTTAACTTTATAGATCTGACATGGTATATTCTAAATTGTTTTTCTGATTCTCTATACTTATCTAGAGAAAAGATTATTATATTTTCGAACCCGGTGTACCAAAAATAGACGTTAGAAGCTTTGTTGCATATGGTACAAATTCTAAAATACACCAACATTCACCAACACCCACAAAACATCCGACAATAACATCGGATATGTAATGTCTTCCAAGTAAAATTCGAGATGCTACAACCAATGTGAGCCATATAGATAGAATATATTTTGGTACATTGAACAATGTCACATTTAAAAAGTAAAATAACAAAAAGATAGCACGACTTGTATGACCACTAGGAAATGAATATTTATCCGGACCAATACTTAATGGATCTAAAGTAAAATACAGAAAAAGTTGTTAAATAAAAAATTAATTTATTTTCAAAACATTTAGATGTGATGAATAATTATCCAAAAAAAGTTCATAAGACTAAACGATATATGTAGTAGTCCTTTTGTTTTTTCTTGACTGACTCACCATCATAATTATATACTGGTCGTTTTCGTCGTACAAGTCCTTTCATTGTACCAACAACAGCAACATCGAACATAAGTCCAATAAATAAAATCATAAAACTGATACATTGGTCAATCGAATGAAATTTATAATAAATCATGAAAATAGAATATGGTATCCAGACTAAATGAAAATTGGCCATGACTATGTTCTTAGTGAGAGTTTCTCTTACCATAACCGCTACCCGAGAATTCAATAGCCATAACAAATGGTCTCAACCATAAAAATGATGATGTAGGACGTGCACATAATGCACTCCATAAAGTATAACTTTTATCGAGTTTTAATAAATGATTAAGCATCTAAAAAACAGACAACAGAAATGAGATCATTGTTGTGTGAGTAATTTACGTTTTCTAATCAATTCAGCGGTATCTTCTAATGGCTTTAAATAAAATTAATATTTCAAATGTTAGTTTTCCAGAAACAATAGTGATTAAACAAAATAACGAAGTTTAAAAGTTTTGAAAGTATATCATTCGCATTAAAAATCCATTTTTTGCTGTTATTGTGTGTATTTTAATTGTGTAAATGCATCAATTCTCTGAAATAATAGCAGATGGTATTTCCTTGATTTTAGATGTCAACGCTAGGCATTAACCAAATATAATAATTATTTTTTTCTCACATATCGTTTGCATTTTTAGCTCTTTGAGATTTAGAAGTCAAATTATTTTTTATCAGTTCGTAGAACAAACTTAATTATCTTTGAATTATCGAGAAACATCGCTAATGTACACAATATACAAATTACATTTTCGTTTAAACAGTTATTGGAAATAAAACCATTATAATTAACATATAGAGCGAGTCCAACATAAGTGATGCTGTTTCCAGTGAAAATATATTATAGATTAACTTGAATTTCTCTTTAACAAGGAAAATTAAGTGATAGAATAAAATTGTTCAATCCCAGTTCGCTTTTTGCGGTGTAATTTTATTTTTTAATTTTATAAAAAGAACAAAAACAGTAAAAACTAATAACGTGTCTAAGCAAACCAGTGCACATTTATTTCATTCTGTAATATCGTATACAAAAAAAGTGTAAAATAAATAAGAAAAAAGACACCCGATATAGCATTTAATTAGGAAATTAAAACGTAAGAAAACGTTCAGAAATTAAAAATTAAGAATCAGCTGAGCTATTTTTATCACTGTCATCTGCATTTTTCATATTGCTATCAATTTTTACTGAATTTTCATCATGATGTGTATTAGTTGGAATACTATTGTTGATATTTGTTTGGCGCTGCTGTTGTGGACGGTGTTGTTGCTGGGCAACATTATTGCTGGCCACTCCACTCAGACTACAGCATGGCGTTGTACAACGTGATGATATGTGAGAAAAATCACAATGATCGAGTAGTTTAACAAGTTCAATAGGTGTTGGACCGCCATTATTAATTATACCACCATTGACGGCTATTTGATTTTCCGAACAATTTCCACCACCAGCACCGCTGTTTGCCGAACATAATTCGATTGCCGTTGTCAAATCCCACACCTGAATGCTACCTAAATACATATACATAATAATATCATAAGCTGAAATATAATAACAATCGATCTAACCGTTTTCATGTCCAGTAAAAATAAATCTAGAAAAAAAACGATGAATGTTAGTTCAACAAATATTTATTTGAATTAAACGTATTACCGTCGTGGTCTTGTGCTTAAACGCGATGGTCCCTCGCATTCATGAACAGTAAAACACGTTATTGGCGAGTTATCAACAGATTTGACAATAGCAACACGTTTACCTGTAAAAAGTCAAAAATTATTCTATTGTTAAAGATCGTTACGAATGACTAGATAGAATCAATTAGAAGTATTCTCACCCGTCGAACAAAATCGTATGTATATCTGCTCTGTGTCATATGGTATCACTTTTTGTACAAATACTTGTTGATCATCACGATCCCCATAAGGACCTATAACACAACGCTAGAGAATAAAAATATTTTTTCTCAGATATATGTGCTTACCGATGTCATTGCCTGCTGTATACGACTGTATCGAACGTGCTGGTTCAATTGATACAATTCTGTAGGATGCTAGCGGTGTTGAACCTATGAAAGAGCAAACTAAACAATCATTCAGTATCTTCAAGTCTGTTTTTATTCTTACCCGGTTGTGTAGAAATCATTCCCCGAAATCTTGTTACATTCCATGTTCTGACATGGTTGTTTGCTGCACATACACTAATCAAATGACGTTCCGACAACATTATCTAGCAAAAAAAAAGATAAACACCATTTTTATCATGAGTGAGTAAGAACATCAAATACTTTTGTTACAGGACTGCGATGAACACAAAATGTCTGAAATAGTTGAGGTCTAAAACAAAGCGATTTTCTCCTTAAAGTAAATACATACTAATCAACTTTTTTTGTAAACATACCCGTGCCCAACTGTCTCAGGATGTTGAACAATGACACGTATGATTCCAGAACTTGTACCATAAGCAATTTCAATCCTAATATACAAAAAATTAGTATTTTTTCAGTATCAAAAAAGATGTTTATACCAGTTTCCAGTGACGCTTGTTTTCGGTGTAAGATAGACGCTGAGTGCTGTAATCGAATCACCAGAGGGATCTCTAAAATAGTATCAACGGTGTAAATCAAAAAAAGAGAAGAAATCAACAAAACTACAATTACTTGTAGATCTCAGTAATGAGTAAATCATTATCTTTCATTCTTAATGGGAATTTTTGCATATCAAAATAATAAATTGACCCAGTCTCTCCACCAAGTAAAAGAAATGAACCAGCCTACAAGGAAAAAAATAGATGAATTCAGTTTATATTTTTATCTGCTTGTATTTTACCGTATCAAAACTTTTAATAGGTGTTAATTCTTGTGTTTGCCATTGTTGAGATAGTGAATGCCAAACACCCACTTTTCTCACACCACCACATGCTACTAATTGTGAACCAATAAAGAATAGATTGTCAACTACTCCACCGAATAGAAATGTACCTTGTAAAATGTAAAAAAATAGAAAAACACATTTTAGAATACACTTAAATATCTATTGATGTAACGATGTTCGTACCAATAATGGTGTTTGTCTCATCTGTAATACTCCAAAGTCGAACACTTTGTTTAAATGCAATAGCAACTAATTTTGACTCTTTTGTTTCACCTTGTTGTGTACGAGCATTAATAGCTAAACGATAAATTTCATCTTCCTGATGTTCACTATGAAACATCTAAACGACAAACAATAAAATTATTAATCAATTATATTTTCTCTCTTTAATCTTACTGTTTGCCATCCACTCGCATCCTTCATTTTATAACAAATGATGTAGTATGAATAGGCAGCAGCAATCCAGTTATGATGACCAGCTAACAACGTGACACTCAATAGATTTTGTTCTGTACGTAAACAACCAGGGAGAGGATGTTTTGTTGTAGAAGATAAAGAGGATTGTTGAGTCGCCCATAAAATTGAATCAGTTGATGAGGCACGAGAATGACCACGACTAATAGTATTATTGGTATTATTATTTTGTTGTACAGCTGCTACTTGAGTAAAATCCGTTGCAGAATTTCTAAACAATTAGTTACATTGTTCAATTTTAAATTCTACGATTGCCTTTAGGATGACTGAAATGTATCCCGAGTCTTTTAATGATTATGCAGCGCAATTATATCTGAATAACTATAGGAAGAACGAAAAAACGAGAATAAATGAAACTCTTACCTAACCTGAAATCGAGTGATGAATTTCTATAATGGTTTCCGGTAAATGAATGCGCCGTTCCCAATCGAAATACGGTGCCCGGTTTTACACCACCAGATGTTGTTGTATTTGATAATGGATTCTGATTATTGGATATAATTGGCGCTGTAGTTGGTTCAATAAGTGATGTTATTTTATGTAAATTTACTGTTGTTGCTGTTGTTGCAGTTTGAGATTGAGGTAGTAGAATGACGGGTGGATTAATGTAACCATTAAATAATACATCTCCACACTGTGATCGCTCCAAATCTTCACATAGTTGTAATCGTTTTACTAACGGTGTAACACAATAATATTCACATTCATGCCGTAACATTGATATATCACAACCATTTAGATCTAAACAAACAGTAGGATAAATACACAAATATCAATACCAAGTGATACAATAAGAATATATTATACCGATTTCTTTTGTACGAAGATAATTTAATATAATTGAAAACATTTTCGGATCGCGATCGATAAATATCGAACCACTTTCATCTCGATTTGTTGATATACGTCCACTTAACATTGCCGTAAAAAATGAGTCCGGTATCCATGTTAATGTTTGCTTTGATGTAGAAAAACGTGTACCACCAACATTTAAATGAATAATTTGATCTGACTGATGAGACATTTTTTTATATAAAAAACGATAAATTTACAACCGCATTCTTGATCTAGAAAAAAGATAGATATGGCGCCGTAGATACAAAAGTTAGTATACGACTTTACCCTTATCGCTCTTGTTTCTCGAATATAACTTCTATCACACGTGATAACTTTCCCTTGTCAGAAAAAATAGGAAAAATTCTAAGAAAAAAAATGGATTCGAAATTCTTAAGTTGTCTAACTTTCATCCGCTGAATTGAGTTTCACATTAAAATTGCACGAAATAAGAGATTTTTTTCCAGAAGCTTTCACGCTTTATTGAGAAATTATCTGTTTCCTAAAGATTCAAGAATAAGCAAAATGAAAATAATTCCACAATTGTGATTGTTCGAATCGTCTTTCTGTTTGAAAAGTTAATCTAACGCAGCTTTTGCAGTGAAGAAGTCAAATACTTATTTTCCACTGATCGTTCATTTCTCCTGTCACAGATGGTCGCTCGCGAGTCGCAACAGTAAGACAAAGGTGATTTGTAAACTATGGAGTTTAGCCCTATATTTTTCAATATTACTGTGAGTTTGCACATTTTCTAAGTTGATAACTAGTAGTTTTTTCGAAGTTTCTTGTCTATTGATGACTATTTTCGACTATCACAGCGAAGAACGACCTTAACTATTAGATTAAGATGTTTACCTTTTCCTCCGCTAAATTTGATTGTGCAGATTGAAGTACCAATCAAAATGTCCTGTTAGACCTTTTTAACGTACACTGTTAGTTTCAAACTTTCTCTTTTGCTTTAACTCGAGATTATTACACGAAACAGGTTTATATTCTGCGAGCCTTAATTTTTATCTTTATTTTTATCTTTATATCAGTAGTTAAATCATGAGGATTGGTTGCAATAACACTACGATGACGGCTGACCAGAATTAAATCTTTTTTAGTTTTCTATTCTATATTTACAAAAAATTGTTATTACTTTCATTTTCTCCGTTATCGTTTGTTAAGGAACTCGTTGTCACGCTTAAGACCTGTGTAACGATACAGAATTTATGCTCGAGAAGCGCTCAAGAGGAAAAAATTATCATTATTGGGCGAAATTTTTTGAAATAAAACTCATACTATCTTTGTAGAGAAATAAAGTCTGTGGGAAGTTTTAAAATTTTTTCTCTATCATTCACCATCCTTAAAAATACATTTATGTAAATGCTCATTGGAAATTTCAAGGAAATTGGCAGAACAGAGAAGTGAGTTTATGCGTAGGACAGTTTGCACTTCAGAAGTAGCACCATCTCTTTTAAAGTTGAATGAGATTTTTCGTTGAATTTTCGAAAAGAAAGCTAAATAGGATACGACCGTGGTTAAAAAGAAGGCTGTATTGATACTCTCACTTTCTATTATTTGTAACGATCGCTAATCTCACTGCATCAATAATGCTGATGTCCATATGAACATCACTGAAGTGCATGATTTTTTAGCAGCAGTTGTTTGAACTTCTTACAGCTATAAGATTTTTGAAAATTTAGGAAATGAAAGGATGTTGCGCACACCTCCAAAATGTAAACGTACATTTTTATTTATTTTAGATCATCCTTCTTCAAAAATGGCCGAAGAAGAAATTGCTAGAATTAATCGAAAATTAGAAAAAATGATTTCTAATAATGGAATTGTAAGTTGAACTGTTATTATTAAGATAAAAAGTTGGTCAGCGTAGCTCTGTTGGAACAAAATGTAAAAATTTCCACACCGCAGGGTGGTTATACAAAAGGCTTTGTTTGTTAGAAACGACAAAAACAGACGCCCGATTGAATAGTCTCCGACGTATATACACGTAACACAGTTTATTATTTTCTGAAAGAAAAAAAGACCGAATATGTATTATAATCCTCTTTTCGGAGTTGTAAACGCCCGTTTCCGAGTTATAAACTGGGTGGGGTGGGATAAAAAAAGTTGATCTTCCCTATTTTGCAAAGGGTTTCTGGCTTTAAACCTCAAACTACTAATCGAACAAGTCCTTGAAAATTTTCACGAAAAACCAGCGACAAATAGTGCGCTGTAAAGATAACTTGAAGCACTATCACATTAGTAGTGTTGAACAGAACCGAAAGCGATTGTAAATTCTTAATTTTATCTGTTGTACAATGCAGCTTAAAACTATCTCTGCTTTTATTTTAGGACGAATCAATAGCACGCGACTTACTAGTTCGTTTACAAGAATCTCGAATCACATTGTTAATATTGCAAAAAACAGGGATTGGAAAAACGATCAACAACTTGAGAAAAGCTTTAACACCACCCAACGAAGATTTAGCGACATTAGCCAAAGGATTACTTAAAAACTGGAAAAAGCTTGTACCAGGTACACAATAGTAGAGATGTTCGATTTCAATTCTCGAGTTATATCTGAAAAAAATCTTTTTTGAGCGGTAAGAATTTAACGAAGAAGCTAAAAACGAAAATAATTTTGTTTTCAAATAACGTAAGACAACTATATTTTATCACAGCTTCTACTATAGTGTGTTTTTACTATGTTCAAAAAAAGGAAAGAATAGACGACGCAAAACACTAAAGAGCGAGTTTGTTATTAAAACAGAGGAATAATTAAATGCATTTTACAAAAAGAGTGGTCATTCACTGCAAAAAACCTTCGAATGGTTTAGCAAAATGTTTATTATGTATTCTATATACCACTGTAGCTTCAGAAAATGCATTTAGTCTCTCTGGAAATCTGTTGCACATCAGAGAAAACATGAAACGTCCCACCTCGAATTCATACAACCGTAAGTATACGTGTACGATAATGCCTGGCTTAATGATTCGATACGTGTACTATGTGAACCTTGGTATTGTCAGGGCGTGTAATAGTCTTGGACACGTTACTTATAATCATCACATGCCTTAGATCAGCATGTGTGGTAACCTACTCACTTCATTGTGATATACAATACAGTTCCTTCTATTAGCCTTTGTAGCTTTTCGGAGAGCTATTACGTAGTTACTGAGTGTGTAAGGGTGAAGGGGGAGTGACAACTGATAGTGAAGAAATGTGCGTTAGACTAGCCTTTTGGCCAAAACAGCAGTTGATGACTAGCATCGCTATGGACGAGAGTACGTTTGGGGGCGGTGAGATTTTCTCAACTTTTAAAAGAAAAGCTATAATATTTTATCAACTCTTACGTTGTCACAAATCTTCAAAACAATGTTCTTTTATCTCAAGTAAAAGAAGTTGCTCCAAAATATGCCTCATAAATACCATACGTAACTGATTTGTAGAGATTCAACTCGTTATTTGTGGTTATAAGAAGTCTCGGTTTCGAAAAGTGAATGATCAAGACGGTTCTGATTATTATAGGGAATCTAGAAGCGAACATCCTTAACAACAGCATGAGTCTCTTTCTTTCAAAAAATGTTTTTTTTTCTTTAAAGAAGTATCTAAAGAAGATAAAATCACAAATAATAACCATAATTCACTACCACCAACATCGACACAGAATGAAAAAAACGAAACGACAACATCAAAACCAAATGGAATAGAACGATCGTTATCAGCAGCAAGTTCGACGTCAATACCATCTAGTCTAGCTTCAAATACTCATGATGAAGTCAGGTAATACATTAGGAATTGAAACGGGTAGATCACGAAAGACCTGATGCGTACATATATTAAGCGCGTTCAGTAACAAAAGACATGGCAGTCTAAATAAACGCTTTTCAATTGTAGTAGTTCTTAGAATGCTTTATTAGCTTTTGTGAACAGTCTACAGATCGCCTTTATTATTTTAGGCTAAAATCACGTGATTTACTTGCCGCAGCTTTATCTGTTTCTGAAATTCCAGAAGGATCGGCTGATCCTGTGGAATTAGCTGCTCGAGTGGAAGATGGTATGTACAGAAATGTTTTAAATATTATATGTAACTGTACTTTAATAGATGTATCGTTTATTTCAGCTATTTATAAAGAAATTCAGGATACTGGTGTTAAATACAAAAATCGTATTCGAAGCCGTTTAGCAAATTTAAAAGATTTAAAAAATCCTGGTTTAAGAAATAATGTACTACTTGGCTATATAACATCCGAACGGCTTGCCAGTTTAACTGCCGATGTAGGTTGACTAATTAGTAAGTTTTTCTCCTTCCTTCATGGCATCAAAAATGCCTAGCCTTGTTAGCTTTCTTTTCTTCGTTGGAACCCTACACATTATTGTGATTATTATTATTATTATTTTCTAAAACTCAGTGATTAATTGTTTTCTATAGGAAATGGCCAGTGAGGATTTAAAACGAGAACGTGAAAAATTAACAAAAGATGCTATTAATGAACATCAGTTAGCTGTTGCAACGGGAATAGGTACAGATTTAATCCAATGTGGAAGGTATGTTTCACTTCGGTGACTTTATCTCTTTTTCCGAGCAAGAAATACGGTGGCTGATTAAACTTGTGTGACGTTATTATTGTGTTTTTGATATGTAACTTCCTTGTTCTCTTGTTATTTAGATGTAAACAGAAGAATTGTACATATACAGAAGCTCAAACAAGAAGTGCTGATGAGCCAATGACGTTATTTGTGTTATGCAATCATTGTGGTCTCAGATGGAAGGTAAACCATTGTATAATACTAGATGTGCTGGTAGTCATTTCTTAAGTAATGGGTTCTCTCCAAAGAAACGGATGTTCAATGTATTACTAAAATGTATATACGGATGTTTGGCAAAATTTCGGTAGATTTGAAACTTATCTCGGCATATTTTATTTTTCAAGACTCCAATTTCAGGCATACCTAGAATCCGTGCAAATACTTGATTTTAAGTTCGCAGTACTTGTAGTATGAGATAGATCCTCTTAGATAAACGAAATTAACGCTTTTTGTTCACTTGTGAGAAATCATTTTTCAGAAAAAGGGTAATTTTTTACAAAGTAAAGAATTAAGATGAGTGTACACCGAAATTTTTTACTTGGCGAGCTTTCTCTGTGTACTGCAGCATCTTTAGACAAATGGCTTGGATGCCCACTGTGTAAACACACTTTCGTCGAGTCTAAGGGTTTAATTTTACATGACAGATTTTAGTTATACCTGAAACTTAGATGTAATGTTCAAAATATCGCTTCATGCCTTCCTTTCTTTTGCTCAGAATGCTAACAGCAGTAGTGACCACTTTAAAGATCTGTCTGACATTGATTTTTCTTTTGTTTAGATGTAAAATGTCGGAGGATTGAAAATAATAATGCTGAACGGTTCGTATGCGTCTACGATTGTTTATCATCGTCCAATAAGTTTTATTTACTTTGGTTTGGTTTTACAAACTGTATTTTGTCTCTTGCAGATGAGGATGTGTGTGTGTTCGATTCAAACGAACTATGTATTTTTTCTTTCTATGGTTTTTGTTTGTTTCTGTGTTTTTTATTGATCAAAACTAGAAAAGCTCATTCTTTTTTGTTCTTTTTTTTACTAAATTGTAGTGTATTAAAAACAGAAGAGAGCATCTGTAAATTTTTGTTATTCTATAATGTATGTGTGTTCATTACTCTTTTTTCGCAGTAAGAATAAAAAACAACATCTTAATCTTTTTATATTTTTTTAAGAAAGACAGCCATTCGGGTGCGGTGACGTGATAGATAAATGTTCTTTTTTAACTTGTATTATTCAAAACAAAATTGTTTATTACTGGTACTTATGTTTGTGTAAACAACTTTTTTCGCTATAGTGTTGTTTGTTTTTAATATGAAAAGTAAAATAGGGAATGATAGATGTGTTAGTGCATTGCGTATTTCAAGGGTTGGCAGGAGAAAGATATGTAATACTGATATTTCTACCTTTGAACTTACCTGTCTGCGATTGTATCCCGAGTTGTTCGTTGAATATTTAATATATCAGATGATTAGTCGTATTCTCTATTAAGCAAACCTCCAAGCCTGTAGTAGAACCGCTCACGTAACGTTGAGTGTCACATGTCAATAAGAAATGTTTATGATGTTTGTTTTTTCATCTCATTAAAGATGGCTACATCAAAAGAGACAAGAACAGCTCAAACTTTATTGTCAGAAGCTGATAAAAAATCAAAAGCAAGTGGTGGTTTTTTAAATAAAATATTTAGTAATAGTTCAAATGTCGCTGAAGATGCACGTACATTGTATGTGAAAGCTGGTAATCAGGCAAAAAGTGAAGGCAATTATCCATTAGCTGTTGAAGCATATACAAAAGCATTACCTGGTGGTGAACAATTTGAACAAGCAGCGTGTTATGAAAATATTGCTGCATCTTACATGATGTGTGATCCATCAAAGGCAGTTGAACCATTTGAAAAAGCAGCTGAGTTACATTGTACGTTAAATCGTTTTCCAACTGCAGCAGGTTGTTTAGAAAAAGCGGCAGATGTTCATGAACAATGTGAGAATTATGATAAAGCCTATGAAGCTTTAACAACGGCACAGCGATTTTATGTACAAGAACGACAAAAGGCATCAGCTGGCAGAGTTAAAACACGAATGGCTAATATTCGAATCCAACAACGGAAATATATGGATGCAAAATTATTATTTGAAGAAATGGCTGAATTAGTTAAGGATGATCCAATGTTACGTTATGGAGCAAAAGATCATTATTTTCGGTAAAGTAGTGCGATATATTAGGGTAAAACGTTGCTTTAGAGATATCTTGAATAGGATTTCTTCAATTCCATTTATCATTCTAAAAACTCTTATTATTCTATCCACCTGTGTCTGTATTAATCTGATCGAATATTGTTGTTGTTTTTTCTAGCGCTGTCTTGTGCTCATTATGTATTGATGTTGATAATGGTCAAATTGTGTTTGATAAATATACGGAAGAAAATCCATCGTTTGATAACCATCAACCAGAAGTAAAATTATTACGAAACATTATCCAATGTCTTCACGATGGAAATAAAGAACAGTATCTTCAATATATTAAAGATAGTCCGTTGGCTTCAATTAAAAATGATAAAAATGTCAAAGTATTACTCGAAGATATTAAGAAAAAATTAGATGGAGATATTGATTTGAAATAAATATTTACTATTAACTTTTATTCATTATAATCATATAATTTTTAAGCATAAAGGGATTGCGTTTTTTGTGTTTGTGCAATAGCGATAAGCACCCCCTCTTTTCTCGTCTATGCATATGTAACTTAATCGGCATTTTCTTTCACGTTGACAAACACTCGTTGTATTGAACTTATTTGTACAAAAAGCAATGAATGATTTTTTTTCTTCATATTTATTCTGCATTCCATGCTCGTATTTGTTCCCACCCCGCTCGACTTTAATTTCTTTTTCTTGATTATTTTATTCGAACTCTCTGCAATTAGAGTGGCACATATGTTTGTTTGCAGGATTTTAAACAGACTACCATCGTTGTTTTTTGTGACTATCTAATCTCTCTTCTTATTTTCGTCTATTCAAGTCACTTGTACTTTTTCAAAGATAACTATTTCTAAACAAATAAAGACAAATCAAATAGAAAATATTGATATTAGTAATGTAGCGTCTATCTGCGATTCAGTATATTAATTAAGATATTTTCTATTTCTGATGCAATCATCGAGAAATCAATAATTATAGCAACCATTCGAAGAAGCTATTTGTGAATGTTATTTACCTTTTTAATCATAAATTTCTTTCTTGAAAGAAGAATTCATGCATCTAAATCTACCAAAAAATAAAGTAGACTAATACAGTACATCAATATCCGTGCCCTTCAAAAGCAATTAAAAAGAGGATTTTTTTAAAATTTTTAGTAGATGATTTTGCTATTATGTTAATTGATAAAGCTATTAACAACTCTAAACTCTATTATATATGTGAGAATCATCAGAAAATCTCCAGAAAAAACGAAATTCTACACTTCAATGTTTTTCTTCACCTTTCAAATGCTAGAAGTCCGTACCCAATTGTTCAGGTTGTAGAGTAGAAGATGAGATCACTATCTTGTTTAAAATCACGTTTGTATACCAGAAAATTTTGGCAAAAATAGAATGACATTTGCTGAATATATCAAAAAAGTGAATCAAGCCTACTAATTACACGCTACGTTATTGGAACTAGCGCATAAAATATTATCCATAATCAAATATGGATTTCAAGGGTAAGCCGAAGTTTCATTTGGATGATTGAATAATGGATAGTTTTATGTTAGCAACATAATTACAGTTACCAAAGGACGACAATCGATAAGATCGTTTATTTTTTTCATCTTTTATTTATCAAATTTATATATAATTATAATCACCATCAGATACTCAGCAAAACTATCGATTAAGATTTTGCAAGAATTTTGCAAAAACATTTTGGCAAAATTTCTCCTCTTGATGTCCTCAGCTACGTGGCCAAAATTTTTTTAAACTTATTGGGGTATAAGTGGTCGAATATACTGACAGTGAGGACACATATCCCAAAAAATATATCCTGATCGGGATATAGTTTTCTTACAATAGAGTCGTAGTTTAAAACAGCCCAAAACTAGTTAATGTGACACTTGTAACGGGTGATCCAAGATAAATTGCACTAAATTCTGATGCATTTTTCCCTCATTTTTCATCTATGAAAAATATACCCTAATATACCAAAAGATAGAGAATTTCAAGCTCTACAAAACTGATGACTTCGTTTTTGAAACAAATTTTTCTTATCGCCACCAAATTAAAATGATTCACGTCTAATCAATAATTCAACTGCGATTTCCTATTTTCTGCTGGCTTTTATTGATTTGTGTAAGCTTTTGCTCATCAAGATCGACGCTAAAAGTAAATTATTTAACACCAATAGATAGAGAATTTTGTGCTCTATGCTTCCACGATCTTTTCAATGTTCCTGTTGCTGGTATTCAGACGAAAAAGACTTGGAACTGACACCTGTCAGTATTTTTGAGTTCACTTTGGAAAACCGTGTTTTCAAAAACCAGACTTGCTCTACGAGAGATTTATTATTATGCCATCGGATGTAGAATTTAATTCTGA